TAAACAATTGTACACCCACAAATATGAAAACCTGGAGGAAATGGATAAATTTCTGGACACATACAAGCTACCAAGACAAACCAAGAAGAAATAGAAAACCTGAACAGACCAAATCCAAGCAATGAAATTGAAGCAGTAATCAGAAATCTTCCAACAAAGAAAAGCCCAGGAACAGACGGCTTTACAGCTGAATTCTATCAAACCTTTAAAGAAGAATTAATACGACTTCTCTTCAAACTTTTCCCAAAAAAATGAAACAGAAGCAATTCTCCCAAACTCATTCTAAGAGGCCAACATCACTCTGATACCAAAACCAGATAAAGATACAAAAAAATTAAAATAAAAATAAAAACTATAGGCCAATATCCTTGATGAACATGGATGCAAAAATCCTCAACAAAATACTAGCAATCAGATTACAGCAGCACATCAAAAAATTATATACCATGAGCAAGTGGAATTCATTCTAGGGATGGAAGGCTGGTTCAACATATGCAAGTCAATGAATGTGATATACCACATTAACAAAACCATGGATAAAAACCATGTGATTATCTTAATTGATGCAGAAAAGACAGTCAACAAAATTCAAAGTGGCTTCATGATTAAAACTCTCAGCAAATTAGGTACAGAAGGAAACTATCTCAATACAATAAAATCCATTTTTGACAAACCATTTGCCAGTATCATCCTGAATGGGGAAAAGCTGAAAGCTTTCCCCTTAAGAACAGGAAAGACAAGGATGCCCACTCTCACCACTCCTATTTAACATAGTATTGGAAGTACTAGCCTGAGCGGTCAGGCAAGAGAAAGAAATTAAGGTCATCCAGATTGGAGAAACAAAGTCAAACTGTCCTTGTTTGCTGATGACATGATCTTATATATAGAAAAACCTATAGAGTCTACCAAAAAACTCTTACAGTTGATTAATTTCAATAATGCTGCAGGATAGAAAATCAACACCCGAAAATCAATAGTGTTTTTGTATTCCAATAACAAACTAGCAGAAAAGAAATCAAGAAAGCAAGCCCATTTCCAATAGTTGCCAAAAAAATAAAACACCTAGGTATATCAATTTAACCACGGAGGTGAAAGATATCTATAATGAGAAGTATAAAACACTATTGAGAGAAATTAAAGAGGACACAAGAAGGTGGAAAGACATACCATGCTCTTGAGTGGGAAGAATTAACATCATGAAAATGTCCATTCTACCCAAAAGTAATCTGCAGATTCAATGCAATCCCCATCAAAATACCACTAAAGGTACTTCATAGGCCATGAAATTGTGAACTTCCTGGCAATTACAATTGAATGTTTTAACCATGTGTTCAGAACCCAAATGTGAGTGTGCATTATGAACAGAAGTTTTAAAAGTAAAATCTTTGATCAAACCACTGTGGTTAAATTTGAAGGAGGTTGCGTTGAGTCCCAGCTGGATGGTCAGAGGGAACAGAAAGGAGGGAGGACTGGCCGAGGAAGTGGGTGAGAGACTGTGAGGAGTATTCTCAGGTCGGAGCCCACATTTCGGGTTTTACAACCCAGAGGAGAAAGGTGGCCAAGATTCAGGTGTGGACAAGAACTGAGTGATTTAAACACAGTTCTTCATCCTTGAACTCTATAGAATTGGACATACAGTTTAAGAAGAAATATTAGTGAAAAAGGCAACAAGCAAGGTAGAAAAATGATCAAGCAAGCTAAAAACACTCAATTTCTATAATGAGTGATGTTAAGTCTTGCTGGAAAAACTTTCAATATTGGGAGTTTGTAGAAAGCTATTGATTCTG